TTTTAGTATTTTTTTCTATTCGTATTAGATCCTCACAATTTACATATGATTGGAAAACATATATAACATAGTATTGGAAAAACATATCGTAAATCAACACGTATGCCTTGAAAATAATATATAGCAAAAGTTATTATGAAAATCACGTGACTATGCCATTCCCGGAAATCGTCTTGCGTTCTTTGAATTGTTAATTGCATGACCAAATTCAATATTTTTTGATCACATGTATAATAAATAACCACACGAATGCCAAAATCACATTAATTTGTCCTATATACCAGTTATGCTAATCAGGATAGCTGGTATAGGAGCTAATTCTCGTATAAAAGGCCATGCTTGAAGAGGTGGTGGGAACAGCATAGAAGATATTGTATAGTTGAAATGACTAATTAGTATTGTTCACTGCAGGCTTTTGTGTATGGTGGTTTCAGCGGACTAGGCTTGTACAATCATCAATGGTAAGATAATTAGTGTCAAAAGTACATGTTAGAGATAAATTTTTTTTGGGGGAGTCAGTCATATAAATATATATATTATTAATTAATGACTTGCGCATCAAATATACTAAATGTTGCAGAATAAGGTAATCTTTCAAAATTCAACATAATTTCACGTTCTTCTGTAGCTTTAACCATTCCATCTTCATAAGTTGCTTTTCGGAGTTTTACTAAATAATCATTATCGTTATTACACTATTAACGTTTACATTAATTGATCTCACAAGTTAATTTTCCCAACACTTACAATTATTTAATGCAGTGATAAAGGCTATTACACACGCATCAAAAATATTTCCATCGTAGTTAATGCATACAAGATCTGCATACAAAACCCATACGGCCTTACTTTCTTCAATACATAAACATTCCAAATCTAATATTGATGACCTTTTTCAAAAAAAAAAAAAAAACATGTAAAATCTTTTAAATTTTTCTAAACTCTATCAAAAATTTTCTTTGCTTGCTTACTCTTTTACAAGTCTGTATAAACTTTCACAAAGTACTTGTGCTTGTTCACTTGGTGGTCCAGGTTTAAATTTTGGTGAACAAACCGGTGAAAGTTCAACATTTGAACAAATC